TGTTGTCATAAATATTCGTGGTAGGCTTGAGTAAATGAAATCGGTGCAAGTTGTATAACGGTAAATTGACCGTTTTACAACTTGGATGGTTCCACCCAGCCAATTGGATTCCCAAAGGGTATTAGGGACCATGGTAAACATGCATTTTGGCAATTTTTATTTCCGAGCGAAAAAAGTCAAAAATTAAAAGAGCAAATTCAAGCTTATCAATATAATAAACATGAGTTGTTTATCAAAGGGTATATTGGACTATTTACTCATGAACAGTAGGGACAATTTTGCCTTTTAAAATTTTTGTTAGGCAAATTCAACTAACATTATTAACTTTGTCATTAGTCAAAATTTACAATCAAATTCATCTTCTTCACTAAGCTAGAGAAAGCCGGTGAGTCGAACCAAATACCGATGAGTCTTTAAGTCGGTTTTCTTCCAATTTGGTGTATGTATAATGGAAAAAGTTCAAAAAATTATAATGGGGAAATTCAATCTTCAATCCGATTTAGCTTGAGGACATGGTCACCCTTATCCTTTGGGGTTGACCATGCCCTTAATTTCACCCTTATTTTTAGGGTTTTTCGTTTATATCGGCTTCGAAGGGGGTCATTTTCAATGTCAGCATATTCAATGGTGTCGCCTTCGATGTGAGCTTCAATGGAGGAGGAAAGAGGAAGAACAAGGAGGAAGAAGGATGATTATTGCAATTCATCTAATGACTTCATTGTTGAAGAAAATATGGTGATAAAAATGGTACCTTTCTCCATTGTTTAAGGGAGAAGCTGTGTTTTCTTTCTTTCAATGTCAGCATCTTCAATGATGTCGCCTTTGATGTGAGCTTCAATTCAATGGAGGAGGAAAGAGGAAGAACAAGGATGAAGAAGGATGATTATTGCAATTGATCTAACGACTTCATTGTTGAAGAAAATATGGTGATAACAATGGTACCTTTCTCCATTGTTTAAGGGAGAAGCTGTGTTTTCTTTCTTTCAAGGTCAGCATCTTCAATGATGTCTCCTTTGATGTGAGCTTCAATGGAGGAGGAAAGAGGAAGAATAAGGATGAAAAAGGATTATTATTGCAGTTGATCTAACGACTTCATTGTTGAAGAAAAGATGGTGATAAAAATGGTACCTTTCTCCATTGTTTAAGGGAGAAGCTGTGTTTTCTTTCTCTTTCTTCCGTTTAGAAGGAAAAGATTAGCAACTTTCGTCAATTAGGGACCAATCTTCACCACATGATTAAAAAAGGATGAAAATATTTGTGGTAAGCTTGATTTTTCAAATGTTTCGGGGCCCGGTAACAAAAAGCATTGAGATTTTAGGGGATACATCTCGGGGTCATATAATTTCGTTTGGATCCATATATGATCATTATATGTTGTCATAAATATTTGTGGTAAGCTTGATTTAATGAAATCAACACAAGTTGTAAACCGGTAAATTGGTCGTTTAAAGGCAAATTGGATGGTTCCACCCACCCAATTGGACTCCCGGAGGGTATTAGGGACCATGGTAAACATTCGGCAATTTTTATTTCCAGGTGAAAAAAAGTCAAAAAATTCCAAGATTGAAGGCTAATAATATCCACGCTTTTTGAGAAATTTTGTAGGTTTCGGGTAGAGCTGTCAATTCGGGTAAACGGGTCGGGTTTGGGTTGGTAAGAAAGGGTCGGGTCAACTCAATTCGGTTCAATTCGGATTAATTCCATAACTTATACATTTTGGGTTTGGGTTGGGTTATGCTTGAGTCGGGTCACGTCGAGTCATACTTCTTATTGGCTTTGGGTCAGGTTTAGGTTGGGTTAATAACAGGTCGGGTTACATTCTGGTCGGGTGAACAATATATCGGGTTTAATTCGGGCTTTCACTAGTTAAAACGGGTTAGGGTAATTCTCGAGTTCGAGTTGGGTTCGATTTAAGTCAATAATTTGCGGGTTATAATCAGGTCGAGTCATTTTCAAGTTGGATCATTCTCGGGTTCAAGGCGGGTTCGGTTCAAGTCAATAATTTGCGGGTTATATTCAGGTTTGGTTATTTCTAAGTCGGGTCATTCTCGGAGTCATGTCGGGTTATGTTCAAGCCAATAATTTGCAAGTTACAATCAGGTCGGGTTATTTCCAAGTCAGGTCATATTCGGGTTCAACTAACTATAAATAGATAATTATCATTTTTATCAAGCTAATTGTTTCCTTTGACTATAATATATATTGCAATATACTAGGGAGCTATAGTTTATGATTTAGGAAGATAATTATCTCCTTTGACCATACAACAAATATATAATATATTTAACTCTTAAATTTGAGGATGATGCTCCTTTCTTTTGCTGGCATGGACCGACTTGGTCTCCCTAGACAAAATGCTTTGATCAACAATAATAAGAAGGTCTAAATTGCATTTAAGTTGATTTGAAATCAGGTTAGGAACAATTTAGGTTAAATTTAGGTCGGGTCAATAACAAGTCGTGTTGATTTCAAGTCGGGTTAGTAACAGATCGGGTTGAATTTTTGGGTCGGGTTAGTAATAGGTATGGTAAAATTCGGGTCGGGTCAATAACAAGTCGGGTTGAATTTGGGTTAGGTCAATAACAAGTCGGATTGATTTCGGGTCGGGTTTGTAACAGGTTGGGTTAAATTTGGGTCGGGTTAGGAACGGGTCAGGTTAGTAACAAGTCGGGTTAAATTTGGGTTTTGACGGGTTAAAACGGGTTTGGGTCAATTTCAGTTCAAGTCGGGTTCGGTTCAGGTCAATAATTTACGGGTTACATTCGGGTCGGGTCATCTCCAGGTCAATTCATATTCGGGTTCCCACATACTCGGGTCAACTCGGTTCTAGGGTTGGTTTCAGGTTGGGTTTGGGTCACTATTTTTTCGGATTCAGATGGGTTGGTTAATAATCGGGTTTGAGTCGGTATTTCGACTCAGGTCAATTTTTGACAGCTCTAATGACAAGGTTCATTTCTTGCATAATCTTATATATATATATATATATATATATATATATATATATATATATATATATATTGTTTGTTAATTTTCATTATGTATTTTATATATTTTTTTAAACTCAAACTATACAATACGATAATTTTAACAAACTTGATGTATTTTCGAGGCTATACATTAATTCCTTGTGAAGCTTTATATAGGTCATACCATGACACCAACATTTTTCTTCTTCTATTTTTATGTTTAGCAAATTAAATGTGCTTCATAGAGATGGTAGGGAACTCGCCTTATATCTTTGGGACCAGAACTTCGAACCCCATCACGTCTATAAAGATGAGATTAAATATAGGGAAAACACCAATATATATAATGAATATATACTGCCAAGGCGCCAACACAACATTGGTGATGCACCGATGCTATTCATGTACTTATACGGTAGGCAAAATGCTCATGCTTATGTGCCCATACTAGTTTTAGGACTTATACATGTCAACTTTTAATTAAATTGCTCACTTCAATGCTTATATATGCATGCGGATTTATTGTTAATACATGTATAATTGTACATTACTCATATACGAGTATCATATTGTATATGTATGAATACATATTTTGAACACAATACGTACATCAATAATAAATTTATTATGACAATAAAAAAAATAAAAAGAAAACAATGAATCAAGACGACAACAGTCAAGCAAAATAGGTCATCCAATAATAAAATGACCAAGAACTAAAAGAGAGGGATGAGATTTATGGGTATTATTTGTACGCAATCACTTTAAAGAGTTGTGAAGAATAGATCATGTATTGTATTGCCTCTAAAGGTATGGACCTTCAATAAAGCTAAAACCTATTTTTAACAACCTTAAAATTCCCTTCAAGTTGATTAAAAAAAAAAAAAAAAAAAAAACACGCTAGCTATCAAGTCTAGTGGCTATGTCAATTGTCAAAGCAGAGAATAAGGATGGAGAGCAGAGAAATAATAAAGGAAGGGGCAAACTAGTAAATTATTAATGTAATACTGTTCCTAAATCTAATTACCCCACAATATGTAACCCTTGACCGACTAAGTAACCCCTAAAATATGAGTAAATCCTAAATAAGTAATCTTTGAATAAGTAACCCCAGTCATACGGTGTGACTTGCTTATGAATGTTATAAAATATTAATGAATGTAATAGTGTGATATGTTGATTTAAAAATTTAAAAAGAAATTCATTTTTTTCTATAAAATAAAATAATTAAAAGAAACCACATGAGAAATTCATTTAACTTGAAACTTTTAATTTTACGCCAAATGTTTCATTTTACAGGCATCCAATAACCGAAAAGTAGGGAAAAGTTTTTTCTGGTATGGAAATAATATCATATAACAAATATTTCGTGATCAATAAAATATTTAATTTCCTTAATCAACAATAACTGTCCTGTGAACGTTAATAATTGAATGTTAGAAAAGCTTAGCTGTCTCCTGTAGACACATTTTTCAGCACCTTATATTTTTCACAAATTCATATATGGGGTCAGTCACGCTATAAATGAATGGTGCGGCCAATTCACATATAAAAACTAATTGATAAATTGGAGTCACGACAATGATCAAATGGGGTAACCTTGGACATGAAAATGGGGTTGCCTTTGGGTTCCTCAAATGAATAAATAGGATTAATTCCTTTTAATTAATGAGATTACTTAATAAATAATAGTTGTAGTTACACATATTATTGATTAAGGGTTATTGTGATGAACAAGCACCGTCACATCATGTGACTGCTCACATAGAAGAATTTTTGAAAATATAATAATTTTATAATCAATTTTAAGTTAAACACATTGAAAATTAATATAAACAAATCCTAATCTATGATACTAGTATTTATTTCCTGATCATTCATTGGTGCTATATATAATGAATATATCTAATAAATTATAAAATATATTTATTTTTTCACTAATAATCTAATGTTGCACTTATTAAAAAAAACACAAAGATAGACAAAATTAAAGAAAATATCTTTTTTTTTTTTTTTACAAAGACAAAAGAAAATATCTTATACTCTTTTCATTTCAAAATAAATGACACGTTAAACTTTTTTTTTAATTACTCATACACTAATTTCACCATATAGTTTTAAATAAATTCTATCGTGAAATATGTTGCTAGATACGTATCAATATAAAGTTTCATAATATCAACATTTTTTTAAATAATTTTTACAAATCATATATAATTAAGGTCAAACTAGCACATCGACATATATGTACAAAATTTAATTTGTGTCAATTATTTTAGGACGTATAAATAATTAAGAAAAAAAAAAGAAAAACCGCGTAAATAAGGTAAAATCCATGTGGGCAAGAGTCCTATATAAACACTTAGCATACTCTCCTCCCTCATTTGCACCTTTCTCTCTCTTTTCTCTTCTCTTCACCAAAAATATAACACCCTTTCAATTTTCTCTTCTGTCTCCTCATCACTTCTCAAGTACACCACAAAACCCCCCCTTCAAAATATCTCTTAAATTAAATCAAAACACACAAATAAATTATAACCGCGATGATTTTAATGAGCAACAACATAAGCGGGGTAGGATTAGAAGTTGTAACGGGAGGAACAAACGGTAGTGGTGGTGACGGTGTCGGGGTTGGTGATGGTGATGGTGGGATGATTTTGAAGAAGGGGCCGTGGTCAGCAACCGAAGACACGGTGTTGATGGATTATGTCAAGAAAAATGGAGAAGGTAATTGGAATGCGGTGCAAAGAAACACCGGACTACAACGTTGTGGTAAGAGTTGTAGGCTAAGATGGGCTAACCATCTCCGACCCAACTTGAAGAAAGGTGCCTTCTCTCCTGATGAAGAACGCCTTATCATTGATCTTCACTCTAAGCTTGGTAACAAGTGGGCCCGCATTTCTGCTCATGTATGTTTTTTTTTTTTTAGTTTTTCTGATTTTTTTTTTTTTTTTTTGGGATTTTGATTTTTGGGTTTAATATTTGAAAAGCATGTACTAGAAGATTTTCTGAAAAAAATGTTTTTGCAATTAAAATTGGGGACATGTTTCTGACATGTTTCTGGCAGTAGATTTGTGCAAAGGTTCACACAACAACATTCAACCTTGTACTGTTTTTGCTTGGTTAAGGTTTTTGCTGTAGTTATTACTCTGTCACATGATTTCCTGATTTTATTTTATTTTTCATTTATTTTTAGTATAAATTTTTTTATTTATTTTGGGTAAGAAATAATCAAATTTGAAACGCGCTAATTTTGTAAGTTGCACGTTAGCGTGTATGGTTTATGCACAGGCAACATGCACATAAACGCTTGTATCCCGTTGTACTACATACTTATTAGAATTTGAGATTAAAATTCAATATATATGATAATAAATGTGACTACGAGTACTAATTAAATTGTTGATTGTTTTAATTAATGACGATGTTTTATTTATGTTATTGTAGTTACCGGGTAGGACGGACAATGAAATCAAGAATTATTGGAACACAAGAGTAAAAAGGAGAATAAGACAAGGTCTTTCACTTTACCCAAATGATCTCCCAACACCAACACCACCACCATCTCAACAACACCACCACCAATTTCATCATCATTCAACAAACCCTCTTTCTCTCTCTCTTCCAAAAACTCCACCTCCAACTCTCTCTCTCTTCAACCCTGTTTCTCTCTCCTCCCCTGTTTTCTCTCTCCACCATCCTCCCCCTCTCCTCCCTTCCCAACATCATCATCACTCCCTCAAAAGATGCACTTCAACTAATAACTCCTTATTCATGGGTAATAATAATCCTATTTTCTCCCCCTCTCAAGTGGATCCCCTTTCGGCCGGGTTCGGATACGATCCCGGCTTTGGCTTCGGTGGACCCGGTTTCGAGCTCCCTTCAATCAGATTTAGCCAAAATGAACAGAGTGGTGGTAATGTTTATGTCAAGGTGGAAGAAGATGATAATGGAGTGAAGGTTAATAATAATCCAAATGTTGTGGGTCGGACTAATAGTGGGTTGTTGGATGATCTTTTGCAAGAATCTCATGTTAAGGTTAGTGTTACGAGAGAAAGAGAAGAGGATTTTGGGCTTCACTGGGATATTTCTAGCTCTGAGAATTCTTCCAATGGTGAGTTTTTCTCTTGACCTTATTATCGGTTTCTGTAATCGACGCATAATTTTGGAATGCAATTTTGAGATTAATGAAATGAATTCTATTCCCGTCAAAAAAATGAAATGAATTCTATGCAAAAAAAAACCCATTTATTATTAGTACTTAATTATTAACTACCCCTACCCTTTGTGCTAGTTATAAATATTTTGTTCATGTTTGTAGTTGCTAGTCTTGCTACTAAAATTGTTATGCTATTACTATCCTACAAAAAAAAAAGAAAAAAAAAAGAAAAAAAAGAGTAAAATCAAACACTAAAAATTAAATATTAATGTTGTTTAAAAAAGAAAAAAAGTGAATTTTGTACAACTAATTAGTTTCAAATGTAAGAGTTGGGATCAACTTGATCCAATGAATTTCATGCATTCCTTACTGGTGTCCGTCAGTTATAGATTTCAGTAATTACTCCGAGTTTTTTTTTTTTTTTTTTCAATGAACATAGGCAATACTTTGTGTTACATTTAATTTTTTTTTCTAATAAAAAAACAACTAATACTCCGTTAAATCCGCGTCTCTTTTATATGGTATGCGTGATTTTCATTTCCTGTCGTTACATTTTGACCGTTGATTATTACCTTATAATAAGTTTTAATAAAAAGAATGAGAGTATTTATAATTTGAAGGCACCTTTAAAGATGAATTTAGAGACATATATTTTTGTAACAAATTTTATTGACATACTTTAAGAGATAGTATTAGTGACACTAACAAAATCAAATAGAGGGAGCATTATATAATTTACATTTGGATTTTTTTTTAGAATGATACTTCCTATGTAACCTAAAATTATAGTTTTACATAATCAAGTGACAAGTTTGCTAAAATAGGAAAAGTTTGATTTAAGTTATGACGTATAGTGTGAAATTGAGGGAGTACTAGTATTATAATGGTGATGTAAGAGTTGAAAACATAATCTAGCTAGAATAGGTAATAGTTTTCAGTGCAATATTTATTTCTCTCCATTATATTCTAGCACATCGTCTTTGATTAATGGTTCTTTTAAACTCTTAGTATTGACCAAAAAATGTGATTAGTTTACCTTTTCTAAGACAATAGCCACCAAAAATAATCTTCCACTAAGGTTAGAATGGAAGATAGAATATAATCGAATACAACATATAACACATTTATAATAGTCCAAATCAATTTTCCACTAATGATATCTATATATATAGCAATTGTAGGAGATTGCTTTACTTTGCTAACTCTTGCACAATTAGAAATCTTATGTTTCTCCTATTAGTCAACTAATAATGGGCTACTATACAAAATTAGCATATATCTTATGTACAACTTCTTGGTCTTACATGCAATTGTGGTATTTTATTTTATTTATTTATTTCTTACTAAACTTCTTATTATTTATCGTTACATCATAAAGTCATGAGAAGGTCATGTTCTATTCAGTTTATTTATATTGATAAAAGAAATGAATATTTATAAGTTAAAATTGGTCTGGTGATAACACGTGTACGTAAATAGTTCTCTTCAGTAATGCACAATTATGAGTCGTTTTAATTAGTGATTCGCCTATAACATTTTCTACAACTACTTGTTTGTATGCTAAGAGTAGTAATGATGACTTTTTTCTTGGATAATTTATGTAGGAATCAAGAAAGAAAAAATGGATGATCAACAACAAAAGATGAACTTCAATAGTCAAGAGTTATCAAACATCCTTGAGCTGATTCCAACCCTTGTCCAGGCTCCTTCGTGGTGTAACGAAGGCGTTGCAGAAGGCTCGGCTCCTCAATCTTCTGCTGTTAGCATTGATGATAATTACAATGGATTCGATGATCAAATGCCGCAACCTCCATCTTTTACAGCCGTAAACAATACAAACTATGAAGAAGATGATGGCAATTGGAATCCTGAGTCCTATAATTGGGATAACTTGCCTAGGATTTGTTGACCGGCCTTGATTATTTGCTGAATTATTTAAACTTAATTATGAAAACTTGTTTAAGGAAGGGATTAGAGATTAAATGTTGTTTAATTTGTAGTTGGTTTTTACTAGATCATAGCTCAGATCATTTGTTTCAGAATTGGAGTGCATATATGCCCTTTGACAAATTTTTTTAGTCTTCATTAATATTATGCACTCCTTGCTCTAAAATTGTTTCTCATTCAATGAGTAATACCTAGCCAAATAAAAATAAAAAAAAATAAAAAAAAAATCTCAAGTATTTCGCAACTATATTGTGTTTTTTAGAGCTTTATTTAGGCTCGCTCTCTTCCTATAGATTTTTATTATTATTATATTTACTCATGCATTTACTTTTAATTAAAAATTAAACAATTATAGGTTCAATCAAGAAATATATATTATATTTTAAAAAAAAAAAGAAAAAGAAATATATACTATGTGTCAATCAAAGGAAAACAATATATATATATATGCAAAAAAAAAAAAAAAAAAAAAAAAATCAATTTGCTACTAAACCTTAAATAACAATACAGTTTTAAAAACTTAATGTCTCCAAGTAGTTGTCATTTTTATTGTTTGTGGATTTGGCTAATCCCACAAATTCTTCTTCAATTTCTTTTTTTTTTTTTCATTTTTTTAGAGAGGATTTATTTGATAAATATTATTGCGCAATTCAAAAACTGGTTGGACATGAAATTAGCACCTTTTTAACATTCGGGTATGTAATTCCAAACCTCCAATCATGACAAATGGTTAAGTATGTTATTAGTATGTAAGGAACAAATATAATTCCTTCAAAGCTTCAATGTTGCATAATGTATAAAATGGTTCTAGTACATGTGCCATCTAAGTCTTCTTTTCTAACAATAAAATAACAGCTACCACACAACTACTTGATTGAACATCTTAATTAAATAGAAGTACAAAATCCATCCTATAGCTAAACAAGTTGGTATTTTCCCATATCTCGAACAACTCAAACTCAAGGCCACAAATTAATTTACAAGAGCTGATACACATACACCTTTACCAACCAGTATTGATGTTTAATAATTAAGAACCCCGATTATTATATAGCTTCTCTGAATATAACATAAATCCATTTACCACGCATTCTCCCTAAGTGACCTAATTACAAAAACAGATTTTGATTGTGTAGACGAAACGAGCTATAGTTGTGTCCCTTGTATGCAGTATTATTGTAAGGCTAATTGAAGGATGATTAACACATAAATCGAATGGGATCCTCTTACGGGGCAATTGCATGGGCAAATTCTTATGGGTTGGGATCCTAGTGTAATTTTATTTTCCTTTTCTTTTTTTGTCACACAACCAAGCTTTATGGCATATAAGCCTCCACCATTTATGCCCTTCACGTCTTCACATGCAATTTGAATTGGTCTCTTTAATTTGAAATTTATTGCCTCTTCACTCATCTTTCTTCTCCTCTTCTGAAACACTTACAAATGGTCTACAAAGGAGAGGGCGGTTACTTCACTTATTTGGAAACATATGTTTATAGGCATTTGAGATTCTCTTCACATTCATTAAACTATTTCGAAATATATATCTATATCTATATAATATAAATCTTTCTTCCGTCATGTAATCCGTACATCAATTTAGAAACTTAAATTTTTAATTCATATAATGGATTGAGTTCCGTTGAAAAATTACTTATCATTATTTATTTATTTATATAATTATAAATGTCATTGATGTTTCTCCTACAAATTTCCGTATTTTAGGCTTATTTTCGGGGTTAAAGTTGTGCAAAAGTCTTTCATCATACAAATGGGTCGTCTCCTCCTCTTTTGGACATTTTATCATGATAAGTTTTGGGTTTTATTATCGTCACATTTTATTTTTGGATAATTTTTTCAATAATAATAAGAAGTTTCGTCATGCATGCATGCACCTCTATCATATTGCAAAGCATAACGGTATGGGTCTCAGGGTCTGTCCTAAGTTCAAGAGTTATTAGAGGAACTATACCTCTACACATTACATACCTTACAATTTGTGTACGTTATTCTAAAATTAAAGTGTTACAGATTAAATGACAACAATTGCATAATTGATCCTCTGGGAATTGCCGTCATTTGGCTAAGTTTTACAGAATTCAAATTTACGTGTGATAAAAACTTTATACTCCGTATGTTTTTGTTAACTATTGTATCAAGAAATATCCGCATCTTAAATTTATGACAAATCTGGTCAAAACTATTTAGCTATGAACATTTTATCATATAAAAGAAATTTATAAAGTTTTTTTTTTGTCCTTAAAATCAGTCATATTTAAAGTTTATTATGTTAAGCCTAAGGACCTATTTACATTTACTTAATTTCAGTTCAACTCAGCTCACTTCAGTTCACTTCAGTTCAGCTTCTAAATTTCCTCTCTCATAAAATATTCATTTTAGCTCAGCAGTCCAGTTCAGTTCAATTCAGTTCAGTTCAGTAAATGTGAATAGCCCCTAACCCCGCTCAATTAGGTCAAAAAATAAAGTTGAAAATAAATGATCAATCCACATCTTAACCAATGTGAATATAAATAAATTGCCACTATACCATGATTAAGGCTCGTGGTGTGGCCTTATATCAATGACAACGAACGATTCTATTACTAGTCAAATAAAACCCTATGGTAGCGTTATATGAATCTCAAAATATGATTTTATTCAGACAAATTGAGGTTTACAAGGAAAAATAGACAACTCTAACCATCTACCTAGCTATCATCCTAAATTTCATTGGAATCAGCTGAACCCTTTTCTTTTGAAGCTGATAATTCTTCGTTAGTAAAAGATTGATACACGCAGCGCAATTGAAATGTTTTAAGGAGATTTCAAGAGCAGATGTCGAAAAGTCAAGTACTCAAGTAATTATATTGTGGGAGATGCATCACAGGATAATATAATGTTATTTAATTTGTCCTGAAATCATATACATTCTCTAGTGTGTCACGTAAAGTATCTAAAGGTCTATATGGTGGCCTTGAGTCTAATAGAGGCGAGTTTGTGACCAGTTAAAAAAAGAAAGTCAATGAGATTTCAAGAGCAGATGTCGAAAAGTCAAGTACTCAAGTAATTATATTGTGGGAGATGCTTCACTGGATAATATAATGTTATTTGTCCTGAAATCATATACATTCTCTAGTGTGTCACGTAAAGCATCTAAAGGTCTATATGGTGGCCTTGATTCTAATAGAGGCGAGTTTGTGACCAGTTAAAAAAAGAAAGTCAATGATTCCAACCTGCCAAGTGGCCTCTTAATTAAGATCCATGGGATTTACCTCTATGGCTTTCCTTTTAGAATTCGAAAAGTCAAAAATTTCCCCCAAAGCAAAAGTATACAGAAAATAGAACCATTTTCAAAGATCTGGAGTCTAATAATAAAACTCAAGTTGGTGCGGGATGCATTTTGAGGCCATATATCATAAGTATGTATTTTTGAACCTTATGCATGTACTCGTCAGTCATATAAGGCCCTATGTGGCCAGCTTTCGCATAACCAACAAGATTAATAGTTGACAAGGAAAAGTTCATGATTCTAGCCACCTAACTCGCATCCCAGGTCTATGCAAAGCACCCCAGCTACTTCCTTTTAGGATTAAAAATTTTCAATAAATCTCCAAAAGTAGAGACTATGATTCACGAAATCAAAACATATTCAATAAAAGTTCAAGATCGATGTCGAAGACTCAAATGATGGTGTACGTATCCCAAGGTCGTATAATATCATTTGGAATCATATACGCTATTAGTCAGATATGTAAAAGCCCTAAAAGGTCGTGGTGGCCTTAAGTCAGTGTAAGAGACGAGTACATAATGGGCTAATTAAATTAATAGTTATAATACAAGTAGATGAATCCAACCAACTAAATGGCCTCCTAGGTAGGATACATAGCACATCAACCTTTTTTTCTTTTTGAATCTCAAAAAGTGAAAAAAAAAAAAAGTTGACAAAATCAAATCATTTTTGAAGATTTCAAGACCCAATGTCATAAATTCTAGTGATCATAGGGATGCATTTTAAGTTCATATAATGTTGTTTGTTGCGCGGATGCGCCAAATATTCAGTCACATATAGGCTCATGGTGGCATTAGATCAGTGGTGAGAGATGACAGATTGATAGATGAGTATGTAATCAATTATATTTATTTATATACAAGGAAAAGTTGACAATTTCAACCATGTGACGGGCCTCTAAAAGTTCATGGGAAGCATTTGCACAATTGCACTAATTTCATTCAGAGTTCGGAAAAGTAAAAAATTCTCCAAATGTAATTTAATCAATGTACTATTAAATTACAATGATAAATGTATTCAACTGAAATTTTATTAGGAATTTATAAATAAATTTTTAATCGATTGATAATTTGAAACATATACTAAAGCTTAATTGAGTACATATTGCTAAATTAAACATGTCAAGTAAACAATATAAAGTCAAAGTTTACACCTAATTTGAAGTGGATGGAGAGAGCACATACATATATCTATGCAATCACTTCGAATGGAAACATTATGAAACTAAAATCATAATCCAACCAAATTAGACAAGTAGTACAAAGTAGATCCTAACAGAAGCTTACACTCTCAGCACATAATCTCACTAATTCCAATCTCCCAAACAGTTCAAACTACTGCACCAAAGGGTACAAACTAATGTGCTTAAGAAAACAACGAATTGAACTTTTTGTAATCCCCAATTAGTCCACAACTTGCTTATTATATCGGCTAGTGTAAGTAGCAGCACCATTTTTCAAACATTTTACTTAACCAAAAGCCGCTGGATTACAAGTTTACAACTGTCCGTAATGCCTATGGATAGATATAGCACGCGTATGACTATAAGATACAAAATAACCAAAGGTCATAGAGCAGAGCTTGAGTCATAACAAGAAGATGGGTTCAACATAACTCATTCCTGTCCTCGTGCCATGGGAAAGCAATACATAAACTAAAATAAACCTCAACCTCGAAGATTATTCATACTGTGGCACCAAGCCAGCTTAATCGTAAGTCATACATGAAGAAAATAAGAGCAGTTGCATAGAAATGTTAACTAACAGTAGGAGATGCATCAAATAAACATTACGGAATAAAGATCCAATTATCCAACTTCAAAGGAATTTGTCCAAGGAACAGTGGCATTCGGCCATTAGTTTTTGATTGCTAATTAGCATAAACTATATATACAAACTTGGGAATGTCTTATCATAGAAACGTATTTACATAAACAACCAGCAGCAGTGCGGACT